GTACTGAACATGTCCTAATTAGGTCAGCAGATGCCCATCACTCTACAACATTCATTAAAACTAGAACAAAGCAAAAACAAAAACCAGCAGCTTTTCAATGAAAACTGAACAGGCAACTAAATCCAAAAATTCTTAGCCAAGGTGTCTTCTATACTTAGATATTGCTAAATACTTCCTTCTTGGTTGATGGAATTGAGCCACAGTAACATTTGTGACTAGAAGGGAAGATGAAATGACTCCATTAACCTAGAGTGCTGTAGCATATGGCAGTCATAGGCGGTAGAATAGCTGTGTCGGACAAGAGCAGAAACAAGCCATGTGGCACAGACGTTATCAATTACCACACATGGTGACCATGCTGACACAATCCATCCTTCCAGAAAGGAAATAACTTGGGCATATGAAGTCATTTGCTGCCTTGTGGAAGAGTAATCTATAAATGACATATCTGGCACCAAGGTAGCACACATGGCTTCCAGTAATTAAACTAAGAATTAAGATTTGAACCTTTATTACATACCTAAATAACAATGCACCACAAAGCAGTTATTTGCAAAGGCAGAAATCTAGGTACATATGCAAAATAAGCATGCGTCTTTCAAACAAAATTATTTACAAATCCTAGCATGGTGGTGCTTGCCTGTAATCCAGCACTTAGGGGTAAGGCAGGAAAATTCCAGGCTAACGAGTTATATAAAATACCCTGTCTCAAAACAAAACAAAACACCCATTGGCCGGTGAGATAGCTTAGTGGTTAAGCACTAGTTGTTCAATTCCCAGCATCCACATGGTGGCTCACAACTTCCCTAACTCCAGTCCTACAGGACCCAGTGCACAGATATACACGTGGTACAGAGACATGCAGGCAAAACACCCACAAACAGCTTTAAAAACCAAATTATTTTTCAAATATCCTCAAATTACCACATGAAATACTGAATTCTTAATCACTGGAAGTATACCAATAATTTCAACTCTTTAGGTATAAAACCTGTGGGGAAAGCTTAGATCTAGGAAATAAACTTGTAATTATTTCCCCTCTTTCTCTTGACATGTATTTTATTTGTAAAAACAGCTTGTTAAAATTAACACAAGTAAAGTGATTTTTATTATATTTTTTAGGTTATTTTAATTTTTTTAACATCCTAACCCAAAATTTCCCTAGTCCCCTCCCCCACACTAATTAGTTCTTCTAAGTATTGACCAGAAAAATTTCAATGCAAAGAAACATGGTAGGCACTATGCTTTAAGAAAATCTACTAGGTGTTGGGCTCTGTGGCACACACTTTTAAATCCAGCATGGGGAGAAAGGGGCAGATCTTTTCTGTAAATTCCCAAGTGAGACCCTGTCTCCAAAAACAAACAAACAAACAAAAATTTAAAGACAGGTTTCATGTAGAACAGCCCAACCTCCACTGCTATATAGCAGAGAATAACCTTGAGCTTCTGATACTCCTGCCTCCAAGCCTGGTTTATATCTTGATGAGAAGAAGCTGTATGTCCAGCCCTAAGAAAATGTGATGAAATGCATTCCTTCAGATGGGTGCTGCATGGACTAAGAGAGACTGAAGGCTTGGCAATAGGAAATAATCAGTATAGAAAAGTACAGTATCAATGGCAAAAATGAGAAACAAAAAACACAAAACATGAAGACTCGAAATTCTTTTCAAAAAAAAAAAAAAGTACAGAAAGACACAATTTGGGAAGATCTAGCAGACTACCCAGAAAGGCTCACAGGAAACTATGCCAGTTTTCTGCTGCTTTAAAACAAACTGTACTAAAACTTAGGTGTCTAGAACTGAAATCATTTTGCTCTTCCACAACTCTGATGTTGACTTACCTTGGCTAGGTGGTTCTTATTTGCAGGTCTCCAAAGGTACTCCACTTTGTGGACTGATATGTGATGGTTCAACAGGGCTACATGTCCAAGATAACTTATTTACATTATAGGTTTTTCATTCACACTGAAACCACTCCAGTAGAAAATGAGTAATTGCAGGAGGTAAGATGGGTCACATGTAGCCTAGGATGGCTTCAATGCCGATGTACTCACGGCCATCCTTTAATTCCTGACTCTCCAACCTTGATCTCCCAAATGCTGAAATTTTTAAAGATTCACTTTTATTCTATGAGTATTTGCCTTCATGTATGTGTGTGCATTGTAAATGTACCTGGTTCCTGAAGAGGGTGTTGGGTCTCATGGAACTTAAGTTACAGAAGGCTGTGAACTGCCACATGGGTGCTAAGAACTGAACCCAGGGCCTTTGTAAGAGCAGTAAGTGCTCTTAATCTCTGAGCCACCTCTCCCGTTCCAAGTGCTGGGACTCATTTGTGTCACTACAGCCGTGTCTTAATATGTAATTATATTAGAAATAAGAACTGATTTTAGGAGGCTGGATAGATGGCTCAGCGATTAAGAGCACTGGCTGCTTGTCCAGAGGACCTAGGTGGATCTGACACCCTCACATAAACAAATCATACATAGTGATTTAGGACCTCAAGTTCTAGCCAAGCCTGGCCACATAGCCTATAAGCTTAACTAAATAGGCAGATCACCAATGCAAGGCTAACCTAGGCAATATAGCTGAGAAAGTTTTTTTTTTTTTTTTTTTTTTAAAGTTGACCTTATAACTTAGGGCACTGAGTGGTAAGTCTTAGGTTCTACCTACAGTAAAAAAAAAAAAAAAAAAAAAAAAAAAAAAAACCTCAAAAAAATAGCGAATGTCTCAACAAGGAGATGGAGCAGAGTTTTGTATTAGCTAGTCTTAGGAGTAAACATCGTTACTTCTATGTATGGTGCTATATTGGTCAAATCAGTAATTAGACCTCTTTTAGACTCAAGAAGACCTACTGAATCCCATCTTCTGTTAAAAGAGGAGCTAAATAATTTATCTTCAAGAGTTCATAACGTGTTACAAATTTAATGTCATAGGATATCACCTAGTGTTAACAAATCTATAAGAAACCAATACATAAAGCCCACAATAATAATGTGTATCAAAGTGAGAACTATTAATCCCCTGTGCTAGGATTAAAGGCATGAGTCACCACCACCTGGCTTGGGGTAGGAGACTTACTAAGCCATTTTATTTATTTTGTCTTCATTTCAACCTTTTTCTTTCTTTCTAAGAACTAGTGTACTTCCAATCTTTGAACCAGTTAGTTTTGTAATTATAATCTTTGAGCTGCACTTTATATGGCTTCTTGACATAAATCTCTTTACATCACTACTTGATTTTTGTCCCTTTTCTTTCTTCTTTTTGGGGGGTGTTTTTCAAGACAGGGTTTCTCTGTATTGTTTTGGATCCTATCCTGGAACTCACTCTGTAGACCAGGCTGGCCTTGAATTCACAGAGATCCACCTGCCTCTGCCTCCTGAGGGTTGGGCCTAAAGGTGTGAGCCACCAATGCCCGGCTGTCCCTTATCTTGCAACTTATTTCTGAAAGTAGGCAGGATATAATCTCATTGAGTTCTGCCTCCATATCTTTTGAATGGGTATAATTTTTATATCTTCATAAAATAAATTACACATAAAAATTATATTTAAATGGAACTTAAAAACTTACATTTCACTACACATAACAAAAGTCAAATAGATAGCTGAAATATCAAAAAGCCTGTCAAAGGTGAATTGAAACTGAAAACAAGCAAAGAAATATACCGTGGTCAAAAATACACGAAATCTTGTCAACATATTTTATGCCAAAATCAGTTCTAAGGGAGCAAAATGTTCTGTAAATTTTAACAGTAACAGTAAATTTAGGCACTGATGTTAACTAAAAATACATATTTTGAACAGTCAGCTTCTCTCCTGTAACTCAATATGTTTTTTTAAAGCAATAGAACACTTCAGCTTTGTCTCAAAACTGAAATTCAATGTAATCTGATTATAGATTTTTATTGTTTTATTTATTTATTTTTGACATGGGGTCTTGCTGAACATCTCAGGCTAGGCTGGAACTAGCAGCAATCCTCATGCCTCAGCCTCCTGAGTGCTGGGATTCCAGGGACACAGTTACCTCTGGTGATCTTGAAAGTAAATGTCATTTCCCCCAATATTTTCAGTGGTAATCATTTTCAGTGACTGACTGGTTTATAATGTCTTTATAAAAATAGAGGTTAGAAAATCAAACAGTCATGTATAAAAAAATATTCCTTATTAGTAAGGCAGTGAAAATAAATATGAAAAATAAAGATGTCCAATCCAAACTGGTATGATTTCTGAAAGTCTCAGGCAAAGTAAGAATGTGGGCCTAACTTTAGTCCTAGATCATTCTATCAGTTATACTATAATTTTATCACCAATTGCAGAAACTTGATTAAGAACATTACTGACAGAAATCAAACTGTGGGGCTGGAAGACCAGTGGTCAAGAGCATGCATCTGTAGCCTTGGTGTCCCTGTGGCACATCTGGAGGCAGGGACAGAAGAGCCCTGGCAGCCTGAAGACCAGCTGGCCTAGCAAGATGCTGTCTCAAACATGGTAGAAAGCAAGGATCAACAACAAAGGTTGTCATCGTACCACCCACCCCATGTGGACTGTGGATCACATACTACCACATTCACCGACATACACAAATGTGCACACAAACATACATGCATCACTCAGGAAAGATATTGGTAGAATGGTTCTTTGTGTGTGTGTGTGTGTGTGTGTGTGTGTGTGTGTGTGTGTGTAGGTCTGATCACATCTCACAGCGTCATTCCCCAAGAGCTGTACACCCTACCCTTTTAAGATGGTCTCATTGGCTTGAAGCCCAGAATCCACTGGGCGGGCTGGCTCGTGAATCCCAGTGATCTGCCTGTCTCGGGTTTCTTTCGTGTGGGTTCCAAGGATGGAACTCATATCCTCATGCCGGAATGGCAAGCATTTTACTGAAGTTATCTCTCCAGTCTGATAAAATGATCTCAAAGTTTTTCTCTAGCAATATAAATATGTAATAACTATATTTAAAATGTTAAGCCTGTATCCTAAAAATAAACAAAACCAGGTGCTGAATTAGGTTATGTGAGCTTTTAACTTTATATTTTATCGTAATGAACATCTATACTTATTTGGAATCAAATTGATTTTCCAAGTACAGCAATGGACAATATAAATTTCTAGTATCCATTCTTCCCAAAATGAGTTTTCACAGTAAACTATATTATCAGCTTATGTTGTACTAGTTGTGTTCACAACATGGTAAAACACAGAAATGACATTAAAAACACTGGAGATGAGTACATGATATACAAACCTATAATAAAATGTCTTTATGAAGCATGGTGGAGCACACCTTTAATCCCATCATGAAAGCGATTACTATGTACAATGAATACACCAATTAAAAACAAGCAACACTGGGCACTAGATGTTCCAGCAGGTAAGAGCATGTGCTGCTCCTACAGAGGACCTAAGTTTAATTCTCACCACCTTCATGGCACTTCAGAACGGCCAATAATACCAGTTTCAGGAGCCAACACTCTCTCCTGAGCTTTGTAGGCACCGAGCACACATATGGTACACAGATATATAAGCAGGCAAAACACTCATAAATCTTAGAAATATTTTCTATGTGCACACAAATATATTTGTGTTAGCTTTTCATCACTGTAATAGCTGAGATAAAAGGTTTATTTTGGCTCAGTTTTAGAGGTTGTAGCCCATCATCACACAAACTCATTGCTTCCAGGCCTCTGGTGGGTTTGCCAGATAGCAATGGCAAATGCACACATGACAGGACTAAACTGCTCACCTCAGGACCAGAAAGCAAGAGAAAAAAGAGAGTTGGGGTCCCACAATCCTCTTTGAAGTGCACCCTCAATGATCTAAAATTTCCCATCAGACCCCACTTCTTAGTTTCCATTACCTTCCAATAATACCTCCCTGGGAAGCAAATTTTTAGCCACATTAACCTTTGATGAATACTTAAAAGTCACGCTATCAATATTCATGCATGTACAACAATTACCAGGAAGGGTAATCATATTGATGACACGAAATAAAAGGAAACCTCTATCTTTTTAATTGATAATTCAATTTAAGATGAAATCCAAATGCAACCACCATCTATCTATGGTGATATATTGTTATGAAGATCAGAATGCAGAGCTAGCCACAGACATATAAGCCACGCAGTGGTGGCACACACCTTTAATCCCAGCAGCCACACTAGTTAGCCACAGAGGCTGGGCAGTGGTGGCACATGCCTTTAATGTATGCAAGACAGGGTCTCAGGGTCTCATGAGGCATTCACTTTGCAGTCATGCTGAGGATAGGATTGTCCCAGCCTTGGTAGCGGTAAGAACCCTCTAGTGGTTGGCTGCCTTGCTTTACTGTTCATCAGCTTGAACCCCAATATCTGTCTCTGAGTTTTTATTATTCGTGCTACAACCATCTGCCAGGTTGACTTGTTTGTCAAAACCAATTGGAGACAGCAAGAACAGATAAAGACTGGATTTTCCCTCAGAGACAGGGTTTCTTTGTGTAGCCCTGGATGTCCTGGAAATCACTCTGTAGACCAGGCTGGTCTTGAACATAAGAGATCTGTCAGCCTCTGCTTCCCGAGTGCTGGGAATAAAGGTGTGTGCTATTGCAGAGGATTGGGATCTAGTTCCCAGCACCTTCATGATGCCTTAGTATCATTTGTAACCCAATTCCAGGGGATCCACCAGAATATTCTGGCTTTTGTTGGTGCCAGCACACACACAGTAAAAATACATATATACAGGAAAAACACCTATACACATAAAAATAAATTAGAACAGAAACTGGAAGGAGAAAATCGACTCCCCAAAAAGTTGTCCTCTTTGTACACCATAGCATACCCATGCAGACAAAAGGGGAGGGGGAAGAGCTTTTTGCAGAGAAGACTCTGTAAATATCTTCCCATTTACATCACATAATTCTGATTCATTCATGACACAGTATGTGTTTATATTTTAAAGAGTATAAACTACTTGTTTATATCTTTATCACATCATGAGTCTAACTATATGCACTGACATTAGTTTTGGGTCAGCACTCTTCCTCTGGCTCTCGTGACCGTTTCCGGAGATCTGAAGAACCTCCTGTCTGTGAAGCAGCAGAGACAGCAGCATCTCTAAATCCCTGAGGCTGAAAAATGAAGAAATACACAAATACACTTAAAGACCAATTAAAACAAAGATGCATTTTCCAAATAGTTTTTAAATAACACCGCATGAGGATGTTCTCTAAGACTCGTAGTTTAGCGGTGAGGCCCAACACCCTTTTGAGACCCAACACCCTTTGGTCCAAGTTAACAACAAGAATGATCTCTAAAAAGAATCCTGAGAAGACTTATGGCACCTGTTGGGAGAAGTAGAAAGGAGTAGTTTGTCCTGCTACTTAGGTGCTTTATAAATCATTTTCACAAAATATTTTGCCTAGTATCTATAATAAATAGCATCCCTCAGGCAGTAAAATCAAAACTTAAAGGCCAGCCTAAACTATATAACAAAACTATTCTCAAAAAGACCAAACAATTAAGTGCAGGTAAGTCTAAGTTAAGTATGGGTACTATAAAAACTAAGTGGAGAATTCATTTCCAGAACTGATTTTCATTTTTCTTTTTATCTTTATAAAAGTAAGATTGGCCAGGCCATGGTAGTGTGCACTTTTAATCCCAGCACTTGAAAGGCAGAAGCAAATGGATCTCTTTGAGTTCAGGCCAGCAGGATCTAAATAATGAGTTGCAGGACAGCCAGGGCTTTGTTTCAAAAAACAAAACCAAGAGCTAGATAGAGAGAGTTGGCTCAGTGGTTAAGAGTACTTGTTCTTGAAAAAGACTCAAGTTTGAGTACCAGCACCCCCATGAAGGCTCACCCTCCTTGGGCACCAAGCAAAAAATAGTGTACAGATGCAGACATATTAAATAATAATAAAGTGTTAAAAATATTAAATAAACAATGAAGGTCATGCTTAGCTTTGTAGTGAGTTCAAAGCCAACTTGGGTATGAAGTCCAATGATATAAATGCTCAGAGAATTAGCATTTCAAAGTGTTACAAGTATCTCCAAAGTTACTAGTATTAATATTTTCCTTTTTTTGTTGTTGTTGCTGATATTTTTGAGACAGGAACTCAGGCTCACTAAGCTGACCTTGAACTAGTGATCTATGTGTACCTCAGTCTCCTAAATTCAGGCATGCACCATCATGTCCAATTGCACCTTTCCCTTTCTGAAAACTTTGAACATAAAAATATTTATAGGAGATTTTACAGATGCTGTGGAACATATATAAATATTTCCTCTGTTCTCAAGGATAAATGTCAGTTCAACTGTGACTACAGTACTGTGTAAGTACTGTTTTGGTGATGTTCTCATATCAAAACTGTCCTCAAGAGCCAGGCACATGCCTTTAGTCCCAGCACTCGGGAGGCAGAGGCAGGCAGATCTCTTTGAGTTCAAGACCAGTCTGGTCTACAGAGCTAGTTCCAGGACAGCCCCCAAGGCCACAGAGAAACTCTGTCTCAAAAAAACAAAAACAAACAAATACACACACACACACACACACTCAAATATGCTTGCTGTTTACAAGATTAACAGAAACCATTTGCACATGACCTTTACCAACACCAAAATCCCATTCTGATTAAATAATACTGACTGTGATCTGAAACGGTATTGTGGACTCCTTCTGGCTTGGTGACTTGTACAATGTTGCAAACCTGTTTGAAGAAAAAAAAGTACATTTAATATTACCTTAATTAGGTTGCATGGCTGATTTCATAACTTAAATACTACAATTTTAATCAAGTCAAGTATTCTCAAGGACAAAAAAACTTCCCTCACAGGATTATCATGGATGCCTTTAGTTTCAGGTAGGCAGAGTTAGGATTTTTTTTTTTTGAGCTCATGAGTTCAAGGCCAGTCTGTGTCTTAATACAAACAAACAAACAAACAAACAAACACTTTGTCAAAAAATACCTCCATGTATGCATGCAATAACTAGTACATCCAATAAAGTTGTTTACATACATTTTTTTAATTTAAATTTTTTTCGATTTTCTTCCCCCAACCCTCCACTCCTCAGAGGGCTAAGGCTTTCTTTAGGGAGTCAACAAAGTCTTGCATACCAAGTTGAGGCAAGACCAAGCCCCTCCCCTCTGTACCAAAGCTGAGCAAGGTATCTCACCATAGGGAATGGGCTCCAAAAAGCCAGATGTACCTGGGATAGGTCCTGGTCCCACTGTCAGGGCCCTCCTCAACAGATCAAGTCATGTAACTTATACATAAGAATTTAAAGTAAACAAATTCAATGACAGATTCAAATAAATTATTTCATACGTAATGCTACTTATGCTAAAAATTAATATGTAACAAAAGAGGAAGGTACTAATGACATATAAGTTATATGGTCACTCATCTTAAGTTATATGACCACACATCTTAAATCATATATCATATGACCACACATCTTAAGCAACACATATAGAAGCCAGTTAGTGGTACTAGGAATATAATAGTATCTGATGAGCATGACTGAGGCTCTGGCTTCAATTCACAGCCCTGCCAAAAAAGAAAAACTGTGCTGGGTGGTGGTGTAGCCTTTAATCCCAGCACTTAGGAGTTCGAGGCCAGCCTGGTCTACAGAGATAGCTCCAGGACAGCCAGGGCTGTTACACAGAGAAACCCTGTCTGGGGAAAAAAAAAAAAAGAAAGAAAGAAAAAAGAAAAAGAAAGAAAAATTAAAGCTCTTTTTGTATGTGTGCACATGCATGTGGAGGCCAGCGGTGAAGCAGGCATTTTCTATCTCTCTTGACCTAGTTTTTTCTGATAGTCTTTCACTGATCTGAAGGTTCAACAAGTCTACTAGATGTGCTGGCCAGCAAGGCCCAGAGATCCTGCTATTTCTTCCTCACCAGTGCTAGGATTGCAAATACATATCACCATGCCCTACTTTTTATGTGGGTATTGGGGATCCAAACTCAAGTTCTCATGCGTGCATGGCAAGCCCTTTATAGCCTGAATCATGACTCCGTCATCTACTCTCTTAATAACTACATTCAGGCAGTATTACCTAGAACACAAAAACCTTCCTAGTTTCCTTTAAGGAGCTGGAGTGGTGGTGCGCACCAGCAACTGCAGCAGGTGGAGGAGCGATGAGGACTGCTGTAAGTTCAAAGACCACCTAGGTTACATGACGACTGAGGCTAGCCTACATACATGACCCTGTTTCAAAAAAAAAAAAAAAAAAAATCACTTTTTTGTGTTGATTCCCTGAATCTAGGCCCTCACAAATGCTAGGCAAGTGCTTGACTAAGCACTGCTACCTCCCCTAAGTTACTTCTAAAACATTTAAGTCATTCACAACAGCAAAAAGACTGACGTAACATTGTCTACTAAGAGGTAAATAAGATGTGGAATACACACACACACACACACACACACACACACACACACACACACACACACTAAAACATTTGTTTTTAGGATGAAAATTCTAACATATGTCTATAAAATCAAATCTTGAAGACATTATTCTAAGTGAGATAAGTAAATCAAATATTGTATGATTCTAATTATATTTGGTTCTTAGAGCAGTCAAATTCAAAGATAAAAAGTAGACTAGTGGTTGCCAGGGACATTACTGTTTAATACTGAAGTAAGGGAAGATGAAAAATTCTGGAAGTAAATGGCAGCGAGGGTCACACAAAAATACAAATATACTTAATGCCAGCCAACTGCATAAACATGGATAAAAAGCAGTAAATAGGCAACTTTAATGTCTATATTATTGCAATTTTATGAAATATAGATTCCCACTTAACAGGAAAACATTCATAGACCTCAGGGCTTGGAAGGTCATTCATTTCTAGACAACATAATACTCAAATGTTTTCTCTTTTTGAGACAGGCTCTCACATGCCCAGTCTAGCTTTGAATGCACTATGTAGCCAAGGACTTGAACTTCTTTCAAATCTTCCTGCCACCACCTCCCAAGTACCAGTATTACAAGCATATGCCACCAAACTGGCTTACCATTTATTTTCAAAATCAACTCAACAAAGAACATCTTGATTACCATTTATTAACTTTACTTATTTCAAAAATGCCCCTCTTCTCAAGCAAAATTTCAAGAGGAACAACCAAAGACTGTTTTTACTTTGAAAACAGCAGAATTGAGTTCAACTGTCAATAGCACAAAAAATTAAAGGTATTTCTCTTTACCCTAGTATGATGACAGATTGATTTAATCACAGCACTTCAGAGGTTTGAGAAAATAGGATTATGAATTTGAGGATAACCAGGCTGTACAGTAAGACCCCTCCAACTCAAACACAAAAGAATAGCTGTGTAAGAAGCAAAATCAGACATTTTCAATACTTTACAGTTAGTATTCTATCTTTAATGCAGAATATATTTTAATCAGCCCTTTTAAAAATTGTATTTTGGGAGTTTTTGTTTTTTAAGGGGCTATTTTAGAGACCAAACTGAGGGCCTAGTACCATGTAGATAAGCACTACCCCAAAATCCTAAAGGAATCACTTTTCTGGGTCAGTGAGATGGCTCATAGGTTCATGCCACCAAACCTGACAACTGGAATTCAACCTCCTGATGAACCAATATGGTAAAAGGAAAAGAACCAACTAACCAACTCCCAAAAGTCATCCTGACTTCCACACATGCACAATCAAAGTAAACAAATGAATATGAAAAAAAGAAAGCCTTCACTTTTGACTCAATAAAAATTAGCTAATTTTTCTGAGTGGTAGTGGCATATCTGCTCAGGAGGCAGAGGCAGGCAGATCTCTGTGAGTTCAAGGCCAGCCTGGTCTACACACTGAGTTCCAGGACAGCCACAGCCAGACGGTGAAATCCTGTCTTGAAAAACCAAAAAAAGTAAATAAGTCATCTCACATCACCAGTATGTCCTAAAAGGTGCCAAGTACAATTTAATTTTTTTGAGAAAATTACAAAGACTTGATAACTTCTCTTGCTCACTCACGATTGGTGTAGGGAATGATAGACATAGGGCCTCCTGAGACAGAATATTACTATGTGTCTCAGACTGGCCTTGAACTTGCATCCTTCCTCTTATGTGCTGGGACACAGATACAGGACACCACGCCCAAGTCAAAAAAAAAAAAGTAGTAAGATTTTAAGAAACCTTTAAACATTTAGTACAAATTCTAAAATCGACACCAGGTGTGGTGGCTCGTGCCTATAATGCTAAAAAGCAGGAGGCAGGAGGACTGCTAAGAGTTCTAGGCCAACCTGAGCTATATTAAGTAAAATACAATACTAAAGTCAAAAGGGAATTGATTAAGCTTTCAAGTTGGAAAATCTTCTTCAAATTTCTAGGTAAAAAAAAAAAAAAAATTGTATATCATGTCAGCATCTCAAAAAAATCTTTTTTCCCAAGAGATCTTTTTAAAGTAAACCAAAAAGAATCACTTGGCTCATAGCCCTAGCTGAGATGAAGCTTAACATATGGCTGAACTACATAGTTTGGGTCAGGAAGAAACAAGACAGAAGTACAATTTGTGCTCTAAAGCTGAGCACACATATGAAATGCTGTGTGGGGGTGTGATGTATTACTCCATTCCACCACCAGATCTTCTTGGCAACGAGTGGTATAATTCTGAACAATCTTGGCCTCATATTATCATGAATATGCAATTTGGGGAACCCACATAATATAAGGACACAGACACAATCATGTAGAGTTGCTGAAATGTCGTTCTATCATTTGTCAAGGGCTTAAAATCAGATATTACTGGACAGGTGTGGTAGTGCACAGCTTTAATCCTAGTACTAGGGAGGCAGAGGCAGTCTAGTCTACACAGCAAGTTCTAGACCAGTCAGAGCTAAAGATCCTGTCTTAAAGAAAAAAACGAACAAAAAGATGCTGGACAATGGTAGCACACACCTTTAATCCCAGGAGGTAGAGGCAGAGGCAGGCAGATCTCTGTGAGTTCAAGGCCAGCCTGATCTACAGAGTGAGTTCCAGGACAGGCTCCAAAGCTACACAGAAAAAAACCAAAACAAAAAAAGCAAAATGTTAAATCAGATGTCAAGTAGTAAAGGATGGAAACTAGGCCATGATAATATCTAAGTTCAATTCACAATATAAATCAATTATTCAAGTTTTTCAATTTTCTGTTCAAAATTAAAGTGTTCATTTTTATAATTATAAATTTATATTCACATTTTAAAAATAAAATTCTAAAAAGCATGTAAAAGTATACAGGCCAGTGATAGAGTGCTTGCATTTCCCAGGCCTCAATTCTCCAGTATTAGGGGAATAAAGTGGGGTGTGGTAATTAATACTCTTCTATAATCCTAGTACTTAAGAGGTAGAGGAAAAAGTTTCAAGAATTATCTAGTAACATCCTGTGTTATCTAGCCTAGCCTTGGATACTTGACAGCTTATTTAAAAAACAAACTAAAAAAAATGAAAAGCAGACTTTATGCAGTCTTATACATGGGCCTATAGCTCAGTGGGAGAGCTTTTATTTAGAATGCCCAAAAGTCCTCTGCTTAATTTCCAGTACCCAAAACTACAACTAAACTAAACCACCATAATGCCTACATGCAAAGACTTTACAAAACTTTAAAGACAAAAGTATTTGGTTTCAAACAAAGAACAAAAATATATTGATTCTTAAGTTACTAAACAAAGTCAATTAATTCTGATTATTATGAAGTATGCACATTACTGTCGTATATCCATGGCTTAAAAGAAACGAATTCCTTTACTAGAGAAGAATACAAGCTATACATTCAGAATATATACAATATAATTATCTTCTAGACAAGTTATTACAGGAGAAAGAGAAACACGCATGCTTGACCAAGTTAGGTTTTAGTGACTACACTTCTGCATAATCTTTTAGAACTGACTCATGCAGTCTGCTTCTCCTTTACAGAGGCAAATTCCTAAGAGGTACAGTAACTTCCTTTTCACAGCAGTTGGAGAGGTGGCTGAGCAGTCAAAAGCATTCACTGCTCTTTCAGAGGACTCTGGTTCAAGTTCCCAGCATCCACATGGTGGCTTACAACCATCTGTAATTTCCAGTTCCAGAGTATCTAATGCATTCTTCTGACCTCAGTGGGCACCAGACAGGCACATGTTACGCATACATACATGCAAAAACAGAAAGGAAGACTACTCACATAAAATAAATAAATCCATTTTTAAAAATTAAATAAAGCTGAAGTGGTAGCACACTCCTTTAATCTCCACTCAGAAGGCAGAGGCAGGCAGATCTGAGTTCAAGGATAGCCTGGCCAATAAACCAAACTCTAGGACTGCCAAGACTACTTACTAAAAAGGCCCTGTACCAAATCCCTCTACCCCCGCCAAAAAAAAAAATTCTGTACATCAAACAGAGTTTCATGATATGGCTTTCTCTTTTCATTTTTATGCAGTCTCACTGTCCTACAGTCCAAGTTAAGCTCAAACTCAAGCTATTCCGCCTCAGTCTCCTGAGTGCTGAATTACAGACATGTGCCAACATATTTAGCAACAATACTGATTTGAAAGAACATTAAAGGTGGCATGTAATACAGCTTTCTAAAAAAATACAGTATCACTGACTAAGCTCAGTATATTGCCCTATATACTGCCTCAGTTTCCTTCTTTATCAGAGCACTTCCCCATACCAAGTTCTCTGGGTTGTGCCAATTAATCACAAAGCAGAAAGGCTGGCATAAATCTGACATTTTTTGAAGTTCAGAATAAAAGACTTCATAGCTTTCAGTGGCCTATTTTAAAGAAAAGGAAAGCTGGTTCATTCACTTGCTCAGCAGCTTTAGAAACAAATACAAAGGCTTCATGCTGCCATGATTTTATTTTAAAGAACAGTATGTGTGAAAGGCAGGTAAATACATGGGTAATAAAAGGAAAACAATGACAGACACAATTTCATGCAAGAACTATATTAAGCAACTAAGAAAAACCATCCTATTTTCCACATATATTAGTCTTAACACTAACCTCAAAAGTTTTCCTTTTGTCCTGATTTTATTCTTTCAATCCCTTCTGGGAACACGGAGTACCACCTCCTTCTTCATGGCTAATAAGTGATTTCAAAGAGTATCAGAAGGCAGCAATTCCTCAGCCACCTACATGTTCCAGGTGCATTCACCCCATCATTTAAATATACAAAGAATTCCCTATGTAGCTGAATGTGCAATATTAACAACGTGTTTCTAAGTTTGCTCTAACTGATGTCAAACAAGGCAACAAAAGCAGTGGTTTATGGGTCACTGCAAATCTCAAGCTGGGGACCAATGCTAGAAACCATTAAGTGCTCAATGTAATTAAACTGATATTCTGAATTATGAACTTATTTCTATACTGACCTTTGCTTTTGTTCCCAGTGAAAAATAAGTCTTATTGTAGCAGCATGGCCCCAGCTTTCCCCTAAAAAAAAAAAAAAAAAATTAACTATACAGTACCTTTACAATTTTATAGCTTGCTTAGAAGTCTCTGGCCAAATACTCTTATATTACCAAATTTAGAATAAGAATATTCTTGAACTGGGCTGTGGTGGTGCATGCCTTTAATCCCAGCACTTGGGAGGCAGCCTGATCTACACAGCAAGTTCCAGGACAGCAAGAGCAATTAGTTACACAGAGAAAGCCTGTTAAGAACTAAAAAGAAAAGAAATACATAATAATAATAACTTTAAAAAAAAAGAATATTGTTGGTGTTGATCAGGCAGTGGTGGTGCACACCTTTGATCCTAGCACTCAGGAGGCAGAGGCAGGCAGAACTATGAGTTTGAGGCTAGCCTGGTCTACAGATTGAGACCCAGAACAGCTACAGCTATACAAACAAATAAACCAAAAAATGTTCTTGGTTTCAAAACCTGCAACTTATGAGTAAAATCCTAATAGTGATAGAGTTGTACTTATGTAAGAAAGCAATGCAAATCATTATCCTCTATTTGTTTCATGAAAAAGTTACAGTTTCAGTGGATTATCAACCTTCCATTCCATAAGTCTATGTATTTTTAACACCCACAAACAGGGTCTCACTGTGGTCCTTACTGGCTCAGAACTCAATATGTAGACCGGGATGGCCTTGAATTATGTCTGCCTCTGCCTCTGAAGTGCTGGGACTAAAGATATGTCACCACAGAGGTTTCATTATGCAGTCCAGGCTTGCCTAGGTCTCCTGGGCTAAGTGACTGTCCCACTTCAGCCTTGTGAGGAGCAGGTGCTGTACTTCTATATCAATGTGTTTGGCACAAGAGTATCACTGGGTTTTAGGAGAGATAGATCTTGAAGCATCATGTTCAAATAAAATAGAAACCTTAGGATTAAATAGACTCACTTTCCTTCCTGCCTAAAACTGAGGGGGTTTTTGTCTGGTTGGTTTTAGAGACAGCACATCTTTATTTAGCCCTGGCTGTCCTGGAACTCTCTCTGTAGACTAGGCTGGTCTTGAACTCAGAGATCCACCTGTTTCTGCATCCTGGGTGCTAGGATTAAAGGTATGAGCTGCCACCATCCAGCAAGACTGAGGTTTTAATGTCTAGAATCCTACTTTGAATATTCATTTCTCAGGTTTCTGACATAGTTGCTAGACAGTATCTACTCAATATTTGTTAAATTATGGAAGGATTAGTATCTCAGGACACTGCTTAGTGATCAGTGTATAATGCAGTCTCTGCTTTCAAAACCTCATAGTATTCAAACAAATAAAAAGGTAGGAAAGTATTAAAAAATAAAGATGTTTTATCTAATTCATTTACCAACCTAAGGCAGGAACAAGTAATGCTTGATTTTTATCAATCTTTGTTGTCATCTGATTAGTTAAAATAACCTATAAAAGCAAAACATTAGAAAGTTAGGATATGCCAGGCAGTGGTGACATACCTTTAATCCCAGACTTGGGAAGCAGAGGCTGGATCTCTGTGAGTTTGGGGCCAGCCTGGTACATAAAGTGGGTTCCAGGACAGCCAGAATTATAACAAAGAAACCCTATCTCAAAAAAAAAAAAAAAAAAAAAAAAAAAAAAATTGTATGTGAATAGTCCTGAGCTTAATATTCTGAATTAATAAGTTAAAATAGAGGCTAGAGAGAGCTCAAATTCAGGACCCAGATTCAGTTTCTAGAACTCACATAGTAGTTCACAACAATCTGTAATAGTGGTTCTCAACATTCCTATACTGTGACCCTTTAATACTATTCCTCATGGTATGGTGACCTCCAATCATCAAATTATTTTCATTGCTACTTTGGATCTATAATTTTGTTACTGTTATAAACATAATGTAAGTATCTGTGTCTTGGGATAGTCTTTTTGGGGTTATGACTACAAGTTGAGAAGCTGATTTATAACTTCCAGTTCCAGAAAACCTGACACCCTCTTCCTCTGGCACCAGGCACACATATGGTACACAGATATTCATGCAGACAAAACACTCATGCACATAAAATAAGTAACTCTTTAAAAATACTTTTTTTTTTTCTGAAGAAAGGGGAAAAGACGAGAGGCAGTTGTGATCACTTGTCTGATTTTTCTCTTTCTCTCTCTCTCTCTCTTTTTTTTTTTTTTTTTGAGATAGGTTTTCTGTTTAACAGTCCTGGATGTCCTGGAACTCACTCTGTAGACCAGGCTAGCTTTGAACTCACATAGATCCGCCTTCCTTTGCCTCCAGAATGCTGGGGTTAAAGGTGTGCATGCCCACCCCCACCCCCCCCCCAGGCATCTACTTTACTTTTTGAGACAGGGTCTCTCATTGAATCTAGAATTACTCTTTGAGTTAGACAGTCTGGCTGGCAAGACCAAAGGATCCCCTGTCAAAGTACTTTCTTTGCCCTCACCTTCACAGTGCTGGGCTTACAGGAGTGCATTGCTATGTTCAGCTTTTATTATTTTTAAAATTTTCCATTTATTTTACATAGCAATCAGTTCCCCTCCCTTCTCTCTCCCTGTTCCTGACCCCCAAAGATTTACTTATTATCTATAAGTGTTCTGTATGTATGCCTGCCTGCATACCAGAAGAGGGCACCAGATCCCGTTATGGATGGTTATAAGCAACCATGTGATTGCTAACAATTGAACTCAGGACCTCTTGAAGAGCAGTCAGTGCTCTTAACCTCTGAGTCACCTCCCCAGCCCATGTTCAGCTTTTATGTGGGTGCTGGGGTTCATTCTGATCTCAGGTCTTTATGCTGCCAAAGAAAACACTTTACCCACTGAGCTATCTCTCCAGTACCCTTCCTTTGAAACTTCACTTTTTAAAATTCAAATTTTGGGGCCTAGTAGCATATGCCTTTAATCCCAGCACTTGGGGACAGAGGCAGCTCTGAGTTCAAGGCCAGTCAGTCTACATAGAGAATTCTAGGACAGCCAAGGCTACATAGACCTGTCTCAAAAAATAAAATATTTGGCCAAATATGGTATTACATTCCTTTGATCCTAGCACTTAAGAAGCAGAAACAAGATATATTGGCATTTTTCAAGATAGGGGTTCTGTATGTAGTCCTAGCTGTCCTAGTACTCGCTCTGTAGACCAGGCTGGCCTTGAATTCATAGAGATCTGCCTGCCTCTGCCTCCCAAGTATTGAGATTCACGTTGTGAACAATCAATGCCTGGCATATATGCTTTATTTTATAAATTGTGTTGGTCAGAGAGGGACTGGGAGGAGATTAGAGAGGGGAAACTGTGGTAGGGACGTAAAAACAAAAATAAAGTAATCCATTAAATAAAATTTAAAAATATTTAAAAAGTAAATAAATAACTTGCTGTGTTTTGTCACAGCAATATAAAAGTAATGCCAGGAGTTGGTGGTGCATGCCTTTAATAATCCCAGCACTTGGGAGGCAGAGGCAGAGGCAGAGGCAGATGGATCTCTGTGAGTTTGATGCCAGCCTGGTCTACAGAGCAAGTTCCAGGACAGGCTCCAAACCAAAAAAGAAAAAAAAAAAAAAAAAAGCAATATAAAAGTAAGACAGTTAGGCATAGTGGTCCATGCCTTTAACCCTAGCACTAGAGATGCAGGCAGATCTCTGTGTTTGATACCATCCTGTAACATAATGAGTTCCAGGACAGACAGAGCTACACAGTGAGACCTTGTCTCAAAGATCAAGAGTTCAGGGTCACCCTCAGCTGTGTAGTGAGTTCAAAGCCAATCTGAGCTAAATGGGACACTGCCATGAAAAAAAACAAAACAATGAAACCCAAGTCAATAACATCATCTTTAATTCTAGTCTTAGTAGATCCAATGCCCTCTTCTGGTCTTCTTAGAAACATCATGGACATGGTGCACAAACATACATATAGGTATGACACCCATACACATATAAAAGTTAACAACAACAAAAAAAAAAAAGCCTGGTGGTGTGGTGGTGGGACACACCTTTAATTGCAGTACTTTGGAGGTAGAAGTAGGTGGATATCTGAGTTCAAGGTCAGCCTGGTGGTCTAAAGAGTAGGTTCCAGGAAAGCCAGGGCTACACAGAGAAACTCTGTCTCAAAACAAAACAAACAAACAAAATTAAAAATAAGGTGGAGAGCAACTGAGAAAGATACCTAATGTTGACCTCTGGCCTCCACAGGCACATGCATACTTGTACACCAGCCTATATGCACAGATGTACACACACAAACCAAACTTATATATATAAATAGAGAGAAAGAGAGAAAGCAAGTTAGCTATATTAAAACAGGGAAGGCAATGTAGTTCAATGGCAGAATGTTTGCTTAGTATGTATGAAATCTTGAAGTGGAGCAGCAACAGCAGCAAAACAACAAAACAAGAAAAACCACCAAAACCTAGGAAATCATGACACTATGCAGTCTATTTGTCTTGGGCGCCCTCTACTGGGAGATCTTCAAGATACCATCATTAACAATTACTATGCTTTGGCAAAAAGAATATGGCAAGAGGGCTATTAACATGGCTCAGTGGGAAAAGGCACTTTCTAAGGAGTCTAACAATTTAAGTTTGATCTCTGGAACCTCATAATGGAGATAAATGACTTCTGTAAGTTGTCCTCTGACCATGTAAGTGCTGCAGCATACAAAATAAATAAAATGTAACTTAAGAATAAGATTCGGAAAAGCAGAGAAAACGTGTATGTTTCAAATTTTATAGAGGAAGTTCTTTATTTACGTTTGGTGTATCACAGGCATGTGCTAACAACTTCCCTAAAAAGTGAGAAGTGGAGTACCTCAAAGCATTTTTCTTCTCCACCTCTATTCTGACAAGCGTATTTTTGTCAATGGGAAAATGTGTTTGCAAAGTGGATATTAATGACAAAGAGGTAGCATGGACTTCTTGGCTTACATGTACTCCCTTCACACTTCAAATCTAGAATGGCTCCAGGACCTAGGCAGTAGCTCTGTATACCACGTGCTTACCACGTATGAGGCTCTGGGTCTAACCACTGCTGTTAAAAAACAAAAACAAAAAACAAAAACAAAAAGCCAAAAAACCTGGCTTTTCCACAAAAATCCCTACATTAAAAGCTGTGCATGACAACGAAAGCCTGTAATCTCAGTACTCAGGAGGCTGAGGGAAGAGGATAAAGGGTTCAAGGAGGGACAGACTACACACCAAGTTTCAGTTTTAGGCTATTTATCAAGGCTTTGTCTCTAACAAGCAGCAATAACAACTACAAATTCCCAAAACCACGTACACATCATTTATCTTTAGTCAGGCAAAATATGTACACATTTAGACATTAATTTGTTTTGTTTTTCAAGACAGAGTTTCTCTATGTAAACCTGGCTGTCTTAGAACTCATTCTGTAGACCAGGCTAACCCCAAACCCAGTCTGACAACTAAAGGTATGTACAGCCACCACCACCCAACTAGACATTAATATTTCATACACGCTTAACTACAAAATTCTTCTGATTAATAATACTTACAGCTAATCTGTGATTATTTGCCAGGCTGATCATTTGTTGGGCTAGGCCATTTAGTAATCGAGTACGAAGGGACAGATCATCAAGGTCATGTCGAAAAGGAAGAGCAATGCCATCTATTATTACTAACTGCACCTAAACACAAGAGAATGAAATTAGATTTGGAGTTAAAATTACAATAATAAAAATGGTATCTCAAAAGCATGTTCCATTACAGAAATAAACCTTAAAATTGAGGGCTTAAAAAAGAAAGATATCAAGCTGGGTGCGGTGGCATGTACCTTTAATCCCAGCGCTCTGGGAGGCAGAGGCAGGTGGATCTCTGTGAGTTTGAGGCCAGTCTGGTCTACAGAGCAAGTTCTGGGACGGCCAGGAAAAAGAAAAGAAAAGAAAGAGAGGGAAAAGAAGGAAGGAAGGGAGAGAGGGAGGGAGGAAAAAGATCTAGCTAGCTGTGCATTTATGATGAAAATGGAGAGATGGCTCAGCAATTGATATATATTGTTTTTCAGTTCCTAGCACCCATGTCAAGCGGTTCACAATTCCTGTAGCTCCAGGTCTCTGACTAGGGGATCCAATGCCCTCTTCTGGCCTCCAGTTACTTGTATAATTAAAAATTAAGTAAGGGCACCAGGTACATATCTATAATCTCAGTATGCAGGAGGTAAAGGCAGGAGGGTCATGAGTTTTAGGCCAGGCTGGGCTATACAATGAGACTCTATCTCAAATAAATGAAAATGAAAATTACATAGTTTTCTTTTAAAACAATGGGAATTAAATCTATGGCTCACATGTGGTAAACGTGATAAGCACTCTACTACTGAGTATATCTCTCACCCTAGGCTTTCTAACTCTTCAAAGGTTTTCTTTGAAAATTCACTTTATTATGTGTATTAGTGTTCTCCCTGCATGTACATCTGTGTGCCATGTTTGTGCCTGGTGCCTATGAAGGCCAGAAAAAGACAAGAGATCCTCAGAACCAAATTTTTCAGATGTTTGTGAGCCACTATGTGGGTGTTGGAAATCCAACCCAGGTCCTCTGAAGAACAGTCAGTGCTCTTAGCCCCTGAACCATACCTCCAGCCCTCAAAGGCTTTCTTTCCTTGGGAAAATATTCATCAATAATTCTACAGTAATCATAACCTAATACTGGCATTTTATGCACATGCCAGTTCTAATTTCATTTCTGTTGCTGTGAGATGGCTTAGGCAGTTAAGCACACTGTCTGTTTTTCCAGAGGATCCAGGTCCAATTCATACCACCCACACGGCAGCTCACAACCTTCTGTAATTCCAGTTCCAGGAACTCAATGCCCTCTCTCAGACCTATGTGGCCACTGCACACACATGGTACACAGATATATATAATATAATATATGTATATATATATATATGCAAAATGCCCATATACATAAATTAAAAAGTAACAAAAAAAATTCTTATGGTATAGTGGTTTGAATGAGTGTCCCCATAGAGTCTAGTATCTGAATACTTGCTTCCCAGTTAGTGGTGCTGACTGCGGGTGTAGCCTTGCTGAGAGAAGTGCATCACTGGGGACAAGTTTTCAGGCTTCAAAGTCATGTACCATTCCAGTTCATTCTCTCTGCTTCCTGCATGCGGTTCAATATGTGAGCTCTCAGCTGTTCCTGCTCCATCTCTCTGCTATGACTCCTTGCTGTAATAGACTCTTAACTCTCTGCAACCAAAAGCTTAAGTAAACTCTTCCTTCTGTAAGTTGCCTTGGTCATGGTTTTACCACAGCAACAAAAAACTAATTGCAAGAGACCACAAACAGCTACAACAATCTTGAAAAAGAACAAAGTTAGAGGACTCATGGTTCCCAATTTCAATATGAACACAAAAGCTATAGTAACCAAGACAGTATAATAGTAGCTAAGAAAGCTAAGGATCTGTGGTAGAACACTTGTTTAGCACGGATTAGATTCTAACTTTGAGACCTGACAAAAAGAGACAGATAGACAAGCTAAAGAAGTAAATCCAACCAAAAGCCAGGAATGGTGGCGCACATCTTTAATCCAGTACTCAGGAATTAAGAAGCAGAAGGATCTCTGACTTTGAGACCAGCCTGGTCCACAGTACAAGTTCCAGGACGGCCAGGGATGCACAAAAAAGCCTTGGTGGTGGGGTGGGGGGATAATATAATAATTAAATAAAACAGGCTGACTATGGTAACAATGGCCTGTACCCTAGTACTTGACTGAAGACAGAATGATTACAAATTCAAGATCTCAGCACTCTAGAGGCAGAGGCAGGTGAATCTAAGGACAGCTAAGACTGTTACACAGAGAAACCCTACCTCAAAACACAATATAAGGCAAAATAAGTATATACTTCTTGAAGTGTGTGTGTGTGTGTGTGTGTGTGTGTGTGTGTGTGTATGCGTGTGTATACGCAAAATAAGTAGAGTATAATAAATAAGTTATAGGGCAGGCAAAGAAGAGACTTTTGAACTGGCATCAAGTTTATACTACTCTACTGTTTATTTCTGTATTATCAACACTTTCAAATACATTATTTCAGTAGTACAATCCATACCTTTGAATGATTTGAAAGGAAATCTGGAAGGAGATAGACTTGTGCCAGCAACTCAGTGTAATCATGACAACGGAAATAATAAATATGAGAAAGAATATTTTCAAGAGTAAAATCCTCCAAGGCTTTCTGGTGCTCTGAAACAAACAAAACAATCTTAAAACAGTTTAGTTTTTCTTCCAACAGCCTGACAATCCTAGATCACTTATTTGCATCCTAGTAAAACATAATTCCTAAAGGATGGCAGAACTACAAACCACTGTAAACTATGATTTGATAACTGCTGATATTATTGTGTTTTCCACTGTTTCGTTAAGAGCTCTTGCAAAAGACCTTGGTTTGGTTCCCAGCACCCACATAGTAGCTTACCACTGTCCACACCTCCAGTTCAGGGGATCTGATGCCCTCTTCAGGCATCCAAGAGCATCACACAGGCATGATGTACATACATACAGATAAAACACACAATCACATTAAGATATATTTTTAAAAAATACATTTTAAAATGCAATAATTAAGCCAAGCAGTGATGGTGAATGCTTTTAATCCCAGCACTCGGGAGGAAGAGATAGGTGGATTTCTGTGAGTTTAAGGCCAGACTGGTCTACAGAACTAGATCCAGGATAGGCTCCAAAGCTACAGAAAAACCCTGTTTCAAAAAACAAAAAGCAACACTTAGTTTCTCATTTCAAAACCAAACTCATTTTGTCTTTGATTTTATGTGTAACATATTAGGGATTGTTTGCTCACAAATAAAACTAGATTCTTACTGTATCTTCAATTATTTTTGTATCTCCAGTTATTGATTTCCACTGAACAGAAGTATCATGATTCATGTTTCTCTTTCTTGTTTTTGAAGAGTACAAATTAAGAATTCAAAGGAAAAGCCATGTGAGAATGTGGTGCATGCCTTTTATTCTAGCACTGGGGAGGCAGAAATCTCTGAGTTTAAGGTCAAGAACAGACAGGAAAACACACACACACACACACACACACACACACACACACACACACACACACACACACAAAAAAAAATTCAAAGGAAAAATGTTCCAACAGAGTATATTTTCCTTTTAACACTATAATGTGATCTTTAAGTACTAAGAACAATATGAAATCCTCTTAGCACTGGATTTTAAAGTCAGTATGGTTCCAGAGGATCCAGGTTCAATTCCCAGCACCCATATGGCAGCTCACAACTGTCTGTAACTCCAAGACCTGACACCCTCATACAGACATGCAGAAAAAACACCAATGCATATAAAATAAAATTTTTTAAAAAAAGTTTCAAGTTTGGGACAGTCTCTTACTGAGGTCTGAGATGGGCATAAATACAAACCATCTTTTTTGTACAGAAGGAGTACCATGCGCTGACTTACCTTCATCCATGTGTGTCCCTGCTATAAGATGAAGGTGCTGAATGCAGGCATTTGCAAGGGTTACCACTCTATCAACCATAAAACTTCCCTCTGTATCAATAAATACTGCTTCACCTGCCACTCCTCCAAAACATTCTGGAATCTGCACATCTACTGCCAATTGCATACTGTCAAGAAATTAGCCAAATAACCAAATCATTATCATTTAAAATGTCTTTTGTAAACTGCATATAATCATCAGCTAGACCATCATAAGTTTTCTAATTACAAATACAGTTCCCCATGGCAACAGAGATGGCTGAGTTTCCATAGCTCCAAACACATATGAACATATGAACCAATCGATACCTAGATTATAGTTAGGATGTTGCACAAAATTATGATTAAGGAACTCTTAGTGGTATTTAGGATTCTAGGAATTGAATGCTTTTTATTTTCTCCTTCTTTTTGAGTCAGGGTTTGGAAATGTAGCCCAGGCTGAGCATCATTTCTCCATCCTTCTGTCTCCACAAACAGTTGTAATGCTGTTTCCAGGAGTGTGTCACCACACCAACAAAGACACCTTTTTTTTTTTTTTTTTTTTTTTTTTTTGAGACAAGGTCACTATATATCCCTGGCTGGTCTAACAATTGTCATATAGCCCAGACTGGCTCCAACTCTCAGCAATCCTGCTTAAGTATCCTGAGTGATGAGATTATAGGAGTATGTCACCAAGCCTGGTTCTGAACTCTTAATCATATATAAATCAGCTTTTAAACATTTGACAAATATATCTCAGAAGCCAACTAATTAGGAAAGTATCTGTTGAAGGACATTATATTACAAAAGAAACATTTTTGATATCAAAACCATTCTATCCATTTACCAAGACGGGGTGGTGAGATACTATGAATGGTAAGCTGATTGTTTGATGAATCAAGTAGTAACATGCTTTTTGGTATTCTAACTGCAAACTCCAAGCACAATATTCCATTAGTTACCAGAATACTAAGTCCATCCTAGAGTAGGAAACACCCTTGTTTACCATAACTGTGTTTTTCCGACACCTGGTACTCCACAAACTTCTGTTGTTTTCATTAGGGGTATTCCACCCCCAAGAATGCTATCTAGCGCTGAGCAGAAGGTGATGATGAAGCCCTGGGTGTGCTCCTGCTTGAGAAGGTCCAGTGCTGTGTACTTCTTGCCTGCCACAGATGTACCAGCACATCTGGGTTTATCTGTGACACACTCTCTTCTTATGATTTGTAGAGTTTCTAAGGCTTCCTCTTTAGATATCCCAACTTCTGAAAATAAAATCAGAAAAGAAAAAAAAAAAAAACTTGACATTAGAATTTTAAAAGCCTAACTCAGAGCTGAACGTGGTGGCACACACCTTTAATCCCAGCACTCGGGAGGCAGAGGTAGGCATATGTCTGTGAGTTCAGGGCCAGCCTGGGCTACAGAGCGAGTTCCAGGGCAGGTTCCATAGCTACTGGGAAACCCTGTCTCAAAAAAACCAAAAAACCCTAACCAGATTATATTCTGTCCTCTTTGGTGAACAGCAAAGAGCTATGCATGGGAGTAGCAGCACAGTGGATGACCACAGCCAGCTTTAGTTTTGTGTGAGGGTGCAATGGTTCCCACTTATATGTAATTTGAAGACCTCGAGAAAAATGTGTGGGGTATTCCATGAATCATGAAGGTCGTCATCTTTCTAAGGCTTTCTCCTGGTCTAAGGGAATATTCTCTTCCTTTCCTCTAGTATCTCTAGTCCTACTCTGATCCTTCACTTCTTGCATTCAATTTTCACCCCCTAGGATCTTGGAATATCACGAATTACATGGCTTGTCTGTTTTCCAATTCTACAGTCACTATTATTACCCAACTCAGTTTTCACGAAACCTCAAGATGCAAAATTGGTTCTTTCCACTCAGGGAGGCAGAGGCAGGCAGATCTCTGTGAGTTCGAGGACAGCCCTGGCCTACAGAGTGAGTTCCAGGGCAGCCAGATCTACACAGAGAAACCCTGCTTCGAGAAAACAAAAAACAAAACAAAACAAAAAAAAGTGAAAATTGATTCATCTATAGAGTAGACATCCTGGTCCAAGAGGCTTGCAGTCCTCAAAGCATCCAGGAGATGCGGGCACAGAGAAAGCAATCAGTACAGTTGCATTGACAGCGGAGTGAAAGAGCAGCTTTACATCGTAAACGCCATGGCGGGAGAACGAGGATGGAGGCAGCGCCAAGCATCCGCGGTGCATCAGCTGGCCACCGGGAGTCGTTACCTTTGCTGAGCTCAGAGGGCTTCACCTCCAGGATGTCCTCGGCAGTCTGGAAACCGGCAGCAACCAGCTTCACGCGCACCGCAGGAGACAGCGGGAAACTCACTAACTCCCGCTGCATTTTGAAAGCTCGGCGCGCACGCACACAGTGACGTAGACCGAGAAGCGCGCAAGGAGCGAAAGCCCTTGCGGCCCAAACCCTGGCCGCCCCGAGCCATGCCGTGTGACGTCATGCGTACAGCGGAAGGGGCGGGGCTCGCGCGGTCTAGCCTCACGAGATGACGTAGAGAGGGAGGCGCGGAAAGCCCAAGAGGCCCAAACCCCGCCCACCCCGAGCTATGCCGTGTGACGCCATGTGTACAGCGGAAGGGGCGGGGCTGGCGCGGCCTAGCCTCATGAGCAAATCCCTCGTGTACAGGGCGTCTTCCTTTCCCGATGTGACTCATCAGAAGCAGTTTTCGGGGTTCCCTTCCCAAGGGTTTAGCCTGCCAGTAAAAGGGCAGCGAGGCTGGAGACGCGAGGTGACGAGGCCCAGTAGTCCCCACGTGCCTCCTTTCCTCCCCTTGCTCTGGCCTGTTTGGTTCATGGGTTCCTCGAGTCTGTAATAGAAATCATCTATCTCCCTAAATGGAAGCAGCAACAGAATGCTGGTCAGTTGCCAGCTCATGCTGTGAGAAATTCAGATAACTGTGTGTCCGGACCACAGGAATGGAGTGCACTGGCTCTTCTTCCTAGCTGGGCCCCTCACTCGCCTCTCCCGCCCTCGCAAGGGATTGTGGGCCAGCCCCCCACCTTGAGGGGGAGCCGTTAGCCAGGAGCCGTTGGCGCTCAAGCCCGCCCGCGCCCACGCACCCACGCAAGCCCACGCACGCCTTCCGGTGTGTGAGGAGAGGAGTTCGCGCGGGAGCGTGGTGGTGTCTGAGAGCATTAATGTCCGCTGGTCTGCCTAGCGTATGAAGTAGCTGGAAAAGTAAGAAATCGTGACCCCTGTTGTCTCATCATTGTCCTCTAGCCTGGGCCTCTGGTGTTGTAAGCGGGAGGGACTGGACTCCTTTAGTAGCAGCGGAAGTGACCTCCGAAACAGAACTTCTGGGGAGACTGGCAGTTTGAAAGGTGACTTTTGAGATTATTTTTTTTTTTTTTTTTTTTTTTTTTTTGCCTAAGAAGTATGGAGAATGATGTAATGAAGTGTCTTGTACCCCTACATTGAAATAAACCTCCTGTGCAGGGCAGTGGTGGCGCACATCTCTAATCCCAGCCCTCAGGAGGCAGAGGCAGGCAGATCTCCGTGAGTTCGAGGCCAGCCTGCTCTACAGAGAGAGTGCTAGAATAGGCTGCAAACCCACAGAGAAACCCCGTCTTGAACACCAAATACCAAACAAACCAAAAAAAGTTGAGGAAAGAGTTTATTTGGCTCACACTTCCACTCACAGTTCATCATCAAAGGAAGTCAGGAACTCAAGCAGGGCAGGAATCTGGAGGCCAGAGCCGACACAGTGGCCATAGAGAAGTGCTGCTTACTGGCTTACTCCTCATGGCTTGTGCAGCCTGCTTTCTTATAGAACCCAGGACCACCAGCCCAGTGATGGCACCACCCCCAATGGTCTTGGGGCCCTCCCGGACCAATCACTAATTAAGCTCTATATAGTAAGTTCCGGGATAGCCAGGACTGCACAGTGAGGTCTTGCCTCAAAAGCAAAACAAAACAAAAATCCAGAAAAGGGCCCAGAGATGGTCCAGTGGGTAAAAGGAGCCTGTTTCCAAACCTGGTGACCCTTGATTGATTCCTCAGGCCCCCATCATGAAAGAAGAGTGATTCCTGAAAGTTGTCCTCTGACCTCCATACATGCCTCCCTTTTCAGAAAGTAATATATAAAATGTAATTGCAAAATCTTCCTAGTACTGGTATCCAGAGTGTCACAAATGCTAGACAGGTAGTTTAAGCTAGGTCTGCAATCCATTTATTCAAATTTGAGACACAGTCTGTGTTACCAAAGCTGGCCTCACATTTATAATCCTCTTGCCTCAGCTCTGGAGTAGTAGGATTACAATTATGCATCACCATGCCTGACTCCTCCCAAGTGTTGGAATTGCAGGTGTCAGCCACCATGCCTGGCTTCGTGGTGTCACCTGTTTATCCTAAGGCAGATTGTACACATAAGTAGGCCAATAATTATGAAAATCTTGTGAAATACTGTAATAGGGCCCTGTGAAGGCTATGGACCAGTTAAGGATTCCATGTTACTTTAAGAAGATATTAAGCCACGGGGTGATGGTGCATGCCTTTAGTCCCAGCACTTGGGAGGTAGAGGTAGACAGATCTCTGGGTTCAAGGCCAGCCTGGTTTACAGAGTGAGTTCCAGGACTATCCAGAGAAACCCTGTCTTGAAAAAACAAAAGGGGAAAAAAAGATATTAATAGGGAACCATTGTGATAGCTCAATGGGTAAAGACATTTGCTGCCAAACCCTGAGGACCTAAGTTCTATCCCCAGGAAGTATATGTTTGGAAGGAGAGAACTGATTCTCTCTGATCTACAGACATGAATTGTGGCACTTGCATGTAAGTTCATAAACATAGACACTGACACTAAATAAATGTAAAAAAAACTAAAAAGTATAGATAGAGCCAGGAAGATAGCTTGCTGGGGAAGGGACTTTTCTGCCAAACCTGACAACCTGAGTTTGATTCCTGTGACCCACCTGATTGAAGTAGAAAACAGACTTCCACAAGTTGTCTTCTGATCTCCAAATATGGATCATAGCACCTTCATATCCAATAATTAATATATAGAACTAGGCTTTATACCTGTAATAGATAAATACAATAATGCTAGGGCCAGTTAAGATGGGTCATTGGGGCTGGGTGGTGCTGGCACTTGCCTTTAATCCCAGCACTTGGGAGGCAGAGGCAGGCAGATCTCTGTGAGTTCAAGACCAGCCTGGTCTACAAGAGCTAGTTCCAGGACAGCCTCCAAAACCACAGAGAAACCCTGCCTGGGAAAACCAAAAAAAAAAAAAAAAAAAAGATGGGTCATTGATTAGGATGCTTGCTTCCAAGGCTGAATACTAGAATTCAGTCCTTAGGAACCACATGGTAGAAGGAAAGAAATGACTCCCACAGGCTTTCCTCTGATTACACATTGTTCTGTGACATACATGCCCACACACATACACACAAATAAGTAAATACAACAATAAAGAAGATACTTCAAATCGCAAAACTTTTTTTGTTTTGTTTTCTGGCACTTGCTCTGTAGACCAGGTGGGCCTTGAACTCACAGTGATCAGCCTTCCTCTGTCTCCAGACAGAGTGCTGGGATTAAAGGGGCGCACCACTACCACCTGGCCCACAAAACTTCTAAAAGTAGTATTTGAGCTTTGAAAACTTCAGTAATGATAGCATATATATATATATATATATATATATGCATATATATATATGCACGTGGGTGGGGTTATATCTGTATATGTATATGATATACTTTCTTTGAGGTAGAAAATGTATATTTATATTTAATACCAGAACTCAGGAGGGAGGCAGAGGCAGGCAGATCTTTTGAGTTTGAGGCCAGCTTGCTCAATATAGCCAAGACTAGTGAGTAAAAATAATAAAAAATAAAATAACTGGCAAATTATCAAAAGTAGATCAGTTGCCTGGTACATGTGAGCCCCAGAGTTCAATATCCAGCATTTGAAAAGAGAAAAAGATTAAAATACTTTCTTCTCTGCTCCCATCACAGAATGCCTTCCCTGAGTCTCTTTTTTTTTTCCTTCCCATGTCAGACATCTCTGTTTTCAATCATCACTTCTTAGGGGTTTTGTTGTCAGTTTTGTTTTAACTTTATTTTATGTGCATTAGTGTCAGATCCTCTGGAACTGGAGTTACAGACAGTTGTGAGCTGCCATGTGGGTGCTGAGAATTGACCCCAGCACTCTGGAAGAGCAGCCAGTGCTATTAACTACAAAGCCATCTCTCCAGACCCATCACTTCTTAGTTTTAGTAAGATATTTAAAACAGAATTTTTAGGATGGAGAGATCATCAGTTAAGAGCTCCCTCTGCTCTTCCAAAGTATCCAGCACCCATACACATTTTTTAAAAGCATTGCTTGCACATATACTAAATCAAAGATGGCTCCTGCTGACAAGGTGAAGGAAACTTTTGCCTTCTCACAGCTTTGTACCAAGTGCCTTTACTCACCCATTTCATTGGCTCTGGTTCTCTCTTTGTTTTTTTGTTTGTTTGTTTTGAGACAGGGTTTCCCTCTGTAACAGCCCTAGCTGTCCTGGAACTCGCTCTGTAGACGTCAAACTCACAAAGATTCGCCTGCCTCTGCCTCCCAAGTGCTGGGATTAAAGGTAAAGGCATGCCTTACCAAGCCTGGCATCTCTGTCTCTCTGTCTCTCTCTCTCACTGTCTCTTCCCCCCACACACACACCATTTCTTTGTTTTTCGAGACAAGGTTTCTCTGTATACCAACCCTAGCTGTCCTGGAACTCACTCCGTAGACCAGGCTAGCCTCAAACTCACAGAAATATTCCTGCCTCTGCCTCCTGAGTGCTAGGATTGCAGGCATGTGCCATTAAACCCCATGCTGAGACTCAGACCCACAGCTCTATGGATACTAGGCAAGCATTCTACCACTTGAGCTACAAACCTAGCTATATGGGCTGTAGTTCTTAAATTTTGGTAGATCTTTTCCCTAGGATTTCAGGAATTTGTCCTAGTTTGACTTTTGTTGTTGTAATAAGTACCATGACCGAAAACAACAAGGTAAGGAAAGGGCTTATTTCATTTTAGAAGTTACAGCCCATCAGAGCAGGAACTTAAAGCAGATACCATGGAGGGACACTGTTTAATGGCTTGCTCCCAGGCTCATGGTTGTTTCTTATATAGTCAATACCTACTTACTTACCCTTGGTACTTCCCACAGGGTTCTAGTCCCTCTACACATTAGTTAGCAATCAAGAAAATGCTATACTGATATGTTCCCAGGCCAACCTGATTGTGAAAGTTCTTCAATTAAGGTTTCATTTTCCCGCTCGGCAATGGTGGTGCATGCCTTTAATCCCAACATGTAGGAGGCAGAGGCAGGTGGACCTTTGGGCATTCCAGGCCAGCTTGGTCTACAGAGCAAGTACCAGAATAGCGAGGGTTG